ACGTATGTTTGAGGGGCTGGATTATCACCGACCAAAACAGCTGTTAAGTGGGGTCCTCGGTGTCCTTCATTTTCCCACTCGATTATGTGCTGTTTCAACTCCTGACGGATCTCTTTTGCAATCGACAGGCCATTGATTATGCGCGCCGTAGGTTGGATTTCACTAGAACCACTGAAAACAATTAAAATTTATTTTGATTTATTAAATTCGAAATGCCATAGCTTTTGAATGAAGGCACAACACTTCCAGTTAGTTAAGTTACCTATCTCCATTATTAAATCCATTGTTTTCTTCAATTTTATGCTCATTTGGAACTGATTTACTTCCATTTATTAAATCTTTCATTTTGTCGGAAAAATTGATCTTTAAACGAAAATTTCACTCTTCTTCTTTTTTAAATCCACAAAATTTGAATGATTTTACTTTTCCGCACACACCTAGTGTGTAAGGTAAAGTATTGGAATCGGTCGAAAAATTAACACCCATAAAAAATGTGTTTTCTGGGTGTTTTTGGGGCCAGGGAACACGAATCTAGCGTTTTTTCGATGTCCGAATGTATGTGCGTACCCTGTACCCTGTACGCAAAAATTTGTTAACACGATAACTTTCAAACAAGAAAAGTAATTCAAAATCTGACTTCACAGGATGATTGGGGGTGCCGAGGAATAGAAACCATTGGATTTTGAGCGACTTTGGTTGACAGAGTAAAGTGTCATGTCTGGTGTGATGCCCATGGCCATCCATGGGAAAAATTCAATTGTTCTTCCAAAAGTGATATTTAATGTATACTTAAACACTCAAAAATGTGTATTGGGGGGTTTTTGGGTACGAGAAAACCGAATATGACGTTATTTTTGCGATACAAATAACTTTCGACACACTTTTCATACAAAAATTTCAAAAAAAATTGAATTTATGTATGAAATCCATGTCTGTATGATATCGTAATGAGCTGAAACTTTGCACAGGTTATTTTTATCATACAAAAATACCATTTCGAGAGTTTGAAGACATTTCAACGCATATTAGGGGTACCTCCCGAACAAAAATTTGGATTTTTCGCTCAAAAACGAAATTTTGTATGGGAAGTACCCTTAATATGCATTGAAATTTCTTAAAACTTTCAGAATGTTAACTTTTTGTGAAAAAAATAACCTCTGCAAATTTTCACAAGATTACGATATCATATAGGCATGGCTGCGATACAAAAATTCCCATTTTTAGTAGTTTTTGTATGAAAAAAGCTTCGAAAATTATTTGTATCGTAAAACTAATGTCAGATTCAGTTTTCTCGTGAATTCTTTGAGTAAAAGATTTGTAATAAATGCATGTTGTAGATCACAGTGCGGAAAAGTTCATCTTACGGATGTAAGACATTTTATTTTTAACTGACCTCGTCTCTTGCACATACACAACTAATGTAACCGCTGACTGGTTCGAATCGAATTCAATTCTAAGATCAAGGCTGAAATTGGAAGATTATCATGGAACAATTTTTTTTATTTCTGATTATTTGCTATTGATGATTGTGGTACATAAGGAGTAAAAAAACTATATTTAAGTTGTAAAAGATGGATATTTATTGAAAGGATTAATGGTGCATTTTCGAAATGAACGAACATCAATTCGGAATAAACTGATTACAATTTAACGAATTTTGTAATATTTCATTAAAATGAAGTTTGATTGTTTCTGACTGTAGTGGTTGTTTTTATTCAGCTTTCTTGCCATGAGAAATTAACTTTTTAACGTATTCGGATCTATTTTATTTATTTATTGTTAACATCGGTGCCAGCATCAAATGAAACTTTGGCCGCATCTATATTACCGCGTTATACAGTGTAATGCACCAGTGTCTTTGATTTACTCGATTTACCATTATACTATTTATGGCCAGTGTATTGCCCAGCGCTGCTGCCATCCACAGCATATTAAAATATCTTGCTGAGAATGCGTCGTCCGTCGCATGCGAATGTATGTAGCAGTTTATACATCACAGCGAACAAGAATTCATGCATTGTTCTATTCACGTTTATGTGACTCAAAACATTCAAACGAATGTATAGATAACAATGCATGTATTGTTCTTCGCTGTGATTTAAAAACTGCTACGTAGGTTCGCATGCGACGGACGACGCATTCTCAGCAAGATATTTTAATATGCTGTGGATGGCAGCAGCGCTGAGCAATACTCTGTTTATGGACATTGTGTGTAAGATTGAAAGAGAATAAAAAAATTTGAGAAATGAATTTTATTTCAATCGATGGTAATACAATCAAAATGCTTATTTTCAATATTAAATTGATAAGAAATTAAAATTTCAAATTGATAAGATATTCCAAATTCCACTTTCCGCATTGTAATACAGTCAAATGTTGTGGTAGATGTTGGACTTAGATTTATCTTCGTAGGCGTCCCGGAATACCGTCCTTGTCAAATACTTCGTTTGATTCGATTCATTTCGATAAAATCTTCGGAAGATATTTTCCATTCGTTACCAAAGCGTGCTCGTAAATCATTTAAATTATTTTCATCTTTTAATCTGAATTGAAATCTATTCAACAATTTGAATTCAGTCAAGAAATGGCACACCTCATCGAATGAATATTTTCCATTAAAGTCTATTGTCTCTAATGCTGGTAATACACTTGCGATTTTCTTTACATTCATCTCATCTATGTACATATAACTCCAAAATGTTAGAGTATCAATTGTTGGATGGTTGCTGATAAATTTGAAAAGTTCATCGCTGTATCGACAATTTGTACGAATCCATAAATTTTTCAGTCGATCGAATGAAAATGGAATTTTGGGAAATAATTCATCTCCCTTTAGATTCAGACCAATCATGAATGTATTCAAACTTTTAAAATGAATTGTATCCCCTTCGTAGCTTAAATCTTCCTTGAACTTGACATATATATTGAGAATCCCAAGTGATTGTAAATACTTGCTCAACTCTGCGAGTAGCTGCATATTCAATCCTGACCCCAAGTGCACTACGAAATATTCCAATTGTGGATTCAATCGGCAGGCTGTCTCAATGGATCTTTTACATGAATTGCTGAGCTTCCCATGTGAAACTTCAATTGTCAGATACATAAATTCTGGTATACATTTGTCGATATCCATAAAATTACCATTGACAACTTTGTAATTCAATGAAAACATATTTGGAAAAAGCCAATCGATACTGTTTGGTCCCAAGCTACAACCCTCCAAATAAACCCATGCAACCTCTGAAAATGGTTTCTGGAATTTATCCAAAATGGTTATGCCTTTAATATCGATACTCTCTAAATTAATACAGTATTCGTTTACGTAATTTAAAATACGCTCGTAAATTTTGGTTGAAATTGGAACAATTTTTGGATCGACATGAAAAGTTATTTTCATCACAAATTGTCCAAAGCAACGCACTATTTGAAAAAAAGTTTTTAAATCAACTGTTAAACCATCCCAAAAAAAACCAAGCGATATCCAAAGAGAAGGCTTTATGGTTATTTTGAGAGATTGATCGCATTTGTATTTTCGTACATATGCTCGTTTAGCAACACTTTTTAGATATTTGTTGGAATCAGCAACATTCAAGAGATTTTTCGAATCCAAATACGTCAAAATATGCTCCAAACAATCAGGATTCAGGCCGGTAATTTTTGTTTCCGTGGGTAAATCGTCGTAGTTTTCTAAATTCTGTCGTTTATTCTTTCTCTTTCCTCTGATTGTTTTTTCTTGATTCTGTTTCTGCTCCGTGTTCTCCATTTCTGATAATGTTTCAAAACTCACAATTCCGACAGTAGAATCGAAACTCACTTTAAAAAATTCAAGTTTAGACGGGATTTTAACTAAAATGTGATGCGATACAGTCACCAGTCTGAACACAACTAACATTGAATGTTACCTTTTTCGTGCTAATGTGTTCATACCTATCCCAAACAACGAAGAACTATGGACTTTGAACCAATAGTACCGTCTTACAACGATATTCTGTCATTAGTCTTCACTCAAACACTAGGGGCTTTTATCTTCAAATGTATACGATTTATACTGTAAATAGTGAACTATATTGCAAAATCATCTGTAATACGCGCCAATAAATGTGCATAACTGCATATATTTGGTGTATATTTCGTGTATATTTCGTGTATATTTCGTATATATGTAAATCTACCTTTGTTGTACCCCACACTTACACATAAACAAACGAAAGACAATTTACATCTCAAAAAGGAGAATTTTTCCTGAAATAACAAAAAATGTGACCATTTTCATCAAACACAACACGGACAACATTTTCTGTTTGAGCTAGGGGCTTTCATCATTCGTTCATACAAATTTATACACAATATTCACGTCCTATTCATCATATATACGATTAAAATTTCTCGCCTATACCAGTGAATAAGATGTATTTCAAACTTCAGTGTACACACACACACACACAGTATTGCTACACAGAATCGAAGAAGATCCGCACAAAAGAGAACGAAAAAACATGCCATAGACGAAATATGTACATTTATGAAATATCGAATCAGGTTTAATTCTTTCTCAATGCTTTCAAGAAGGTAATCGTTGAAAAAATTCAATTTGCATGGAGAAACGGAATAGCCTGTCAAGTTTGTCATCAATAAATTATTAGATAATGACACGAAAGTGGTATTTTTCAAAAATTTGAATCGACAATGCGTTTTTATTTTGTATTTATTAATTAAAGAGCAAATAGGATCAGAAAAAGCCGAGTTTTATTTCAATGTGCGATAATGATACGTATGGAGACTACGGTTGTTTGTTTTTTTATCGCAAAAAACAGAGCACAGTAAGTGATATCAGCGGTTGATTGAACATTAAGTCATTGGTGATATTTTCAACTGACCTCCTCTCTTGCACATACACAACCAATGTAACCGCTGACTGGTTCAAATCGAATTCAATTCTAAGATTAAGGCTAATTATCTGCTTTTGATGATTGTGGCACATGAAGAGTAAAAAAAGTATATTTAATTTGTAAAAGATGAATATTACATTTATTGAAAGCATTAATGTTGCATTTTCGAAATGAGCGAACATCAATTACGAACGCACTAATTACAATTTAACGAATTTCCTCATATTTCATTGAACCGAAGTTTGATTGTTTCCGTTTGTAGTGGTTGTTTCCACTTGTGGTTGTTTTTCTTCAGCTTCCTGAAGAATGGCGGCAATTTCTGTGTGATTCTCATCCATGGCCATTTTGCTTGGTTTCTGATCTCCAGAGCTTTTGATATGAACATCAGCACCAGCTGCGAGCAGAAGTTTAACGGTTTCCAAGTGACCTATATAAAATGGATAATGATTCAAAAGTGTTTAATGTGCAAATTCTTATTAAATTCAAAAAATGTAGTACCATGGTCAGCAGCCCAATGTAATCTTTATGTGAAAAAAAAAGTTTAAAAAACTAATACTTTTATCACTCAATAAATAAATTATTTAATCATTTTACCCAGTGTATCCAAATCCTTGTTTTGCGTTTACGTTAGCGCCATGAGCAATTAACATTCTAACGTATTCGGTGTGACCTGTAGTTTTCAAAAATTGATTTTATTCTCAAAATTCCGATCAAATTCATTTCGTCAAAATAATAAGTGGCATAAAATTGTTTCGAAAACTAACCGTTTGTCGCTGCACTAATTAACGGTGTTACACCCCAGCGAGTCACATTGTTTACATCGGCGCCGGCATCAATTAAAACTTCGGCCGTATCAATATATCCGCGGTATGCAGTGTATTGCAACGGCGTCTTTGATTTACCATTTTTGGCCACTACATTGGCACCATGCTCAATGAGATACTTTGCAATATCCGCTTTTCCTGCAACAAATGAAGAAAATCAAGTCAAATACCAGCAACAGGATATTTTATAACTTGTCAATCACCAAAAATCCCTGCATAATGTAACGGAGTGTCTCTTCGTTTATTATTTCCATTCACATCGGCTCCATGCTCAACCAGGGCTTTTACTATGTCAAGATTGCCTTTGAGAGTCGAAATTGAATTTATTTGAATTATAATTTGAATCACGCCTGTCTTTTGTGAGAAAAAGAAGAAATTTTCTTTTGATACGCCAAAACTGTGCACTTATTATGGTTCTTCTCTACTTCAAACTTTTTTAATTCGGAAAATTCAACATTTTCGCTTTCAAAATGTGACTGAACACTTTGAATCATATTCTTATCGCAATCTCACCATTTTCTACAGCCATTTGTAAGGGAGTCGTTTCATTTTGAAAATATTTGCAATTCACATTTACACCTTCGTCGATGAGTCTATGGACTTCAGACGTTTGATCTAATACCATGAAAAGAATTGTTTAATTTACCATTTTATCGCATCGAAAAAGTCTACTCACTCGTTTCAATGAATTGACGCAACTGATTCTCCTTATCAGAGCTTCTTAGTGAGAAAATAAAAGAAAATGATTCAAAGCAAAAAAAGAGTGAATGATTTTTGGTGGAAGAAATTATTGAATTAGCGATATAAAAATAATTTCTGATTCACTCACGAATTTTGAACTTCCTTCGATTCTGAAATTGAAAGAAATATTCAACACAAATCCAAAACTATCAACGTGGATATTATTACCTGAAGCAAAAGCAACGCCAACAAAGAGAGCAAACACAAAAAATGACTTCATTTTGTTTGGATTCATCAAAATCGAAAAGTGAAGCTTGAATAACACCGTTTAACAAGAGAATTAAAACAAACACACTGAACTGTTTATTGAAGCAAACAATGGCTTTTATTAAATTTGAACGAAGCTGTGTGTTTTGATGCCATGTCTGCTGCTCTTGTTTGATACGCAATCTCTTTTGTAGATGTCAAAGTTCGATGCGACTAAATTCAATGTGATAACAATTCATTTACCATATTTGCAATGACGGCATTCAAAAAATCTAGACAATTAATATATAGAAAAACACAAATGCTTCAGACAAAACAGTTTATTTTGGTATTTTCAAATGACATTTATGTGACATTCTTTAATCTTTTTTTTTATTTGAAATTTATGAAAAAGAAGAGACCTTACAACTTACATACAACGATTTCATTCATGTGACAATCTTTGTCTTTAATGTGAATTATTTTTTTAATAAAATACTTCATATTGATCTTCACTCATAAAAATCAAATTGGCGTAGTTTGCGTACAAATTTCCTCGTGCTTTACTTTTTACTTGTTATCTTGAGAGCGTACACCATATTATTATTTACAAAAGTGAAATTTGCCATTATACGAAAGAGGGAGTGCAATATTCTCAGAGAGGCTGAAATTAAATTTATTTATAAAGCAATAAACTTATTTCATTTATCGAATTATTTTTAGTTTGTTTTTTTTTTGGTAATTTTTTTTTGTTGTCTTTTTTCATTTTAACTGTTCTTGTCTATAGAGCCTGGAATATGTCTTTGTGTCTTTCTTCGCCACTGCGATTGGCATTGAAAGATTTAGATTTATCTTACTAGGCGTTCCGGAATACTCTCACTGTCAAATGCTTCGTTTGATTCGTTCCATTTCGATAAAATTTAATACCAAGATTTGTCGAATTTTCCATTCGTTTCCAAAGCGTGCTTGTAAATCCTTTAAATTATTTTCATCTTTTAAGATGAATTTAAATGTATTCAACAATTTGAATTCAGCCAAGAAATTGCACACCTGTTCGAATGAATATTCTCCATAAAAGACTATTGTCTCTAATGCTGGTAATACACTTACGATTTTCGTTAAATTTTCGTACATATAATGCACAAATGTTAAAGTATCAATTGTTGGATTGTTGCTGATAAATTTGAAGAGTTCATCGCTGTACCGCTGACAATTTGTACTAATCGCTAAATTTTTCAGTCGATCGAATGAAAATGGAATTTTGGGAAATAATTCATTTATCTTTAGATTCAGATCAATCTCGAATTTATTCAAACTTTTGAAATGAATTGTATCCCCTTCGTAGCTTGAATCTTCCTTGGAGTTTACATGTATTGTTAGTTCTTCGAGTGATTGTAAATACTTGCTCAAGTTTGCAAGCAGCTGCATATTCAATCCTGACCCCATGTACACGTTGAAATGTTTCAACTGAGGATTCAATCGGCAGGCTGTCTCAATGGTTTTTTCGCATGAATTGATGAGTCTTCCATGTGAAACTCCAATTGTCAGAATATCTAATTTTGGCATATGTTTTTCGATATCCATAAAATTACCATTGACAGCTTTGTGCTTCAATGAAATCATATTTGGAAAAAGCCAATCGATACTGTTTGGTCCCAAGCTGCAACCCTCCAAATAAACGCGTTGAACCTTTGAAAATGGTTTCTGAAATTTATCCAAAATTGTTATGCCTTTAATATCGATACTCTCTACATTAATACAGTATTCGTTTACGTAATTTAAAATACGCTCGTAAATTTTGGTTGAAATTGGAACAATTTTTGGATGGAAATGAAAATTTAAGTGCTTCACCAAGTGTCCAAAGCAGCGCACTATTTGAAAACAAGTTTTTAAATCATCTGTTAAACGGTCCCGACATGAAATTAAACTAAACGATACACAAAGAGAAGTCATTATTCTTATGTTGAGATTTGAATTGAATTTGTATTTTCGTACGAATGCCCGTTCAGCAACACTTTTTAAATATTTGTTGGAATCAGCAACTGTCAAGATATATTTCAAATCCAAATACATCAAAATATGCTCCAAACAATCAGGATCCAGGTCGGTAATTTTTGTTTCCGTGGGCAAATCGTCGTTGTTTTCTAAATTCTGTCGTTTAATTCGTTGTTCCTCAAGTCGTTCATTCTTTCTCTTTCCTTCGATTGTTTTTCCTTGGTTCTGTTTCTGCTCCGTGTTCTCCATTTCTGATAATATTTCAAAACTCACAACTCCAACAGTAGAATCGAAACTCAATTTAAAAAATTCAAGTTTAGACGGGATGTTAACTAAAATGTGATGCGATACAGTCACCAGTCTGAACACAACTAACATTGAATGCTACCTTTTTCGTGCTAATGTACACCTATCCCAAACAACGAAGAACTATGGACCTTGAACCAATGTACCTTTGTTTGATGCAAATGGTCACATGTTATCCCAGAAAAAAATTCTTCTTTTTAAGATGGAAATTGGCTTTTGTTTGTTTATGTGTTTGTGTGAGTACAGCAAAGGTAGGTTTACAGCTGAAAAAGATAATCGATAGTGCCCATCAAGTTTAACATCAATTGAATTACTAGAAAATGACACAAAAATGCTATTTTTCGAAAAAAAAATTCGCAGAAAGCGTCTTCAAATTCAGTATTTATAATAATCATCATGGTTTCGTTTTATGTCAATTCTCTTTCAAACCCTATATTCAGACTGACGTTTGATCTATTAAAAAGTAGAAAATATAATGAATACAAAAAATGTCAATTTTTAATTTATTAAACAATGTCGAAAAATGCGAAGTAAAAAATCGGATTAGTTTTTTTTATTATTGATTTGTCAATCTGATACAATCAAAATACTAAAAAATTAAAATTTAATCATAAAATCTACATGATTATTACTATTGTCAAAAATGGTTCACATAAAGATCAACCAATAATTTGGTTTATTATTGAACATAGCGTTAAAGTTGTTGACTTTCAATTCATTTTTCATCGTCGAACTGATCGTTTCATGTCAACACAAAATCCTGGCGATATTTGCCATTCGTGTCCGAATCGAGTTCGTAAAACATCCAAATCATCTTCGTTTTTTAACCTGAATCCAAATTCATTCAACAATTTGAATTCCGTCAAGTAATGGCACACCTCTTCAAGTGAGTATCGTTCGTAAAAGAGGATTTTCTTCACTGCTGGCAACATGGCTGCGATTTTCGCAACATCCGTTTTGCTTATGAAAATATAATCCCAAAATTGTAGAAAATTGATTGTCGGACATTTGCTGATAAAGCTGAAGAGTTGGTCGCTGTATCGACAATTTCCGCGAATCTTTAGATGTTTCAGTCGATCGAATGCAAACGGAATATTGGGCAATAATAATTCATCTTCCGTTTGATTTAAATTTTGAATGTCATTCGATCCGTTTATCGTTTTTAAATCCTTTTCAAGTTTCAAATTAAGATAGAAACTCTCTACACTCTTGAAGTAAATTGTGTCATTTGCAAAGCAAAAATCTTTCTTAAGAGTGGCCTTTAGCATGAGATCCTCAAGTGATTGAATGTATTTGCTTACTTTTGACAGAAGCTGCAAATTCAATCCGGCGCCCAAGTTTATTTCCAACCGTTTCAATTGTGGATTCAAACGGAATGCTTTCTCGATGGCTTTTTTGCCAGAATTGCTGAGTTTACCGCACTGCGAAACACCAATATACAAACACTTTAACATCGGCATATGTTTGTCGATATTCAAAAATTTACCATGGGATTTGTATGAAATTGAGGTGACATTCGGGAATAGCCAATTCAAACTTTTTTTTCCAAAGCCACAATCGATCAAATTGGCAACGGTTACCTTTAAAAATGGTTTCTTGAACGCTGTTGACAAATCAAAGCCTTTTATTCGTATGAACCAAAGATGATCGCCACAATATTCGTTTATGTAAATCAGAGTGCGACCATAAACGTTCGACACAGAACTTGTAACATTGTCAAGTATAATGTCGTGTAGTAAGTGCCCGAAACAGCGAACAAATTGAAGGCACGTTTTCAAATCGCCCAATTTTAAGCTGTAACCATCGAATTCATAATTTCGCATTCGACAGAGACTGATTGCACTGATTTCGAGAATCGTTTTACCACAGTATTCTGGTGCATTTTTTCTTCCATATTTTCGTACGTATATCTCTTCGGCAACACTTTTCAAATACTTGTTGGAATCGGCCACGTTCAAGAGATCGCCCAAATTTAAATACATCAAAATATGCTCCAGGCAATCGGGATTGATATCGGTGATTTTTGTTCCAGTGGGCACGTCATCGGCGTTCTCAATTTTCTGGCGTTTGATTCGTTGATTCTCGAGACGTTGACTCTTTCTTTTTCCACTGAACGCAACGAAGTCTTGGCTTTGGTTATGGGCGGAACATTTGTCATATGCCATTTCCATTTCTGGTGATTTCAATTGTTGGTGTTTATCCACTAAATTGTTGACAAAAAAGTTGGATAAATTGAATAAAATGTCTTGAAAATCGATTTAAAATTAGATTTTTACCTGCGATTAGAAACTCTTATGAATGAACTCTTCTGCAACGAACGCCGAATTGATCTTCAACTAGATTTTTGATGATGGCTTGTAATTGGTGCCTCCGGGCTTTGTGCACTTGGGTTCTGTTTTACGTCACAGTATTTATCGGATGAGAACTGTAAGCGAGAAAAAGAACGATTTTTGTTTTCAATTGTTCGAAATTATCATTGGTGTTATTTGGTATTAGAATCGATTTCAACGAGAAAAATAAATGTTTTTAAGTAGCATTTTCCATCAAAAAGATAAAATGAATCCAAATTACACCGTAGGCGATTTGATAAAGTCAATGTCGTATTTCACTACATTAACCATCAATTCTCAACGTTGATTCGAACAAAATGAAACGATCAAAAGTGAATTTTTGTCTTCAAATTGCAGAATTGTGACTTATTGCTTTGAATTGCATTAATTTTTACACATTTTGTAAACAGAGTCTGAAATTTATGAACAATTTGCTTTTGTTTACAATGTATGAGACTAACACAATGAGACTGCATCAAAATTCACATTTGGTTTGCATTCTATAACAAAATCAATCTTACCCACTATTTTTTATCAAGGCGACCACATGAATTTAATGCAAAATAACATAGAAAACTGGAAAAATCCAAATTAAATGAAAACAATATCACCTTTTATGCTGACGATTCGCATAATAATACAAAATTTTACGGCAGTGGCACTGACAGCTGAGTGACGGATGATTTGACATTTATTGTCATGTGGCTGGTTCACAATCGAGTGCGATAAATTCAAAGTGATGTTTGAAAACGTTCGTTAATCGTTTAATGTGAGGATGAAATATTTTAATTCGTTTTTTATTTATTTTTAATTGATTTTTCTTAATTTTTCAATTTTTTTGTTGAACGAAGTACAATTTGTTTTTTTTTTCTTAATATTTATATCTATTCAATTTCTTTCTCAAAATAGTTTTAGTTTCATTCTCTCACACTGCTGAAAAAAATATATGAAAAGTGAAAAATCTGTTTTTTTTTTGTATAATTTTATTTCATACGATGCTAAAACAAAAATCTGATATTCAATTATAAAATCCGTGGGCTGGAGTATGGTGAGAAATTAAAATGTTAAATTGATGAGAAAATTCCTTACGTCATTGTTATAAGTGTAATTGTGTGCAGTGAAATATTATTCTGGGCGATGTGTAGAAATAACTCTAGATGTATTTATCTTCGTAAGTTTCTTTCAGAATATTTGTAATCGTAATAGATAGACTTCATTTGATTCGTTGCATTATGATAAAAAGTCCGTGGGATATTTTCCATTCGTTTCCAAAGCGTGCACGTAAATCATTTAAATTATTTTCATCTTTTAAGCCGAATTTAAATGTATTCAACAATTTGAATTCAGCCAAGAAATTGCACACCCATGTGCACACCTCTTCAAATGTACATTTTCCATGGAAGTTTATTGTCTCTAATGCTGTTAAAACACTTGCGATTTTTATTAGATTTTCGTGACTTATGTACATATATTTGCAAAGTGTTAAAGTTTTAATTGTTGGATATTTGCTGATAAATTTGAAGAGTTCATCGCTGTATCTACAATTTGTACTAATCGCTAAATTTTTCAGTCGATCGAATGAAAATGGAATTTTGGGAAATATTTCATCTCCCTTTAGATTCAGTCCAATCTCGAATTCATTCAAACTTTTAAAATGAATTGTATCCCCTTCGTAGCTTAAATCTTCATTGGAGTTTACATACATTTTGAAAATAGCAAGTGATTGTAAATACTTGCTCACGTCTGCAAGAAGCTGCATATTCAATCCTGATCCCAAGTGCACTTCGAAATGTTTCAACTGTGGATTCAATCGACAGACTGTCTCAATGGATTTTTTACATGAATTGATGAGTCTTCCATGTGAAACTTCAATTCTGAAAGTCCTTAATGTTGGCATATGTTCGATATCCATAAAATTACCATTGACAACTTTGTAATTCAATGAAAACATATTTGGAAAAAGCCAATCGATACTGTTTGGTCCCAAGCTACAACCCTCCAAATAAACCCATGCAACCTCTGAAAATGGTTTCTGGAATTTATCCAAAATGGTTATGCCTTTAATATCGATACTCTCTAAATTAATACAGTATTCGTTTACGTAATTTAAAATACGCTCGTAAATTTTGGTAGAAATTGGAACCATTCTTGGATCGACATGAAAAGTTAAGTGCTTCACCAAGTGTCCAAAGCAGCGCACTATTTGAAAACAAGTTTTTAAATCATCTGTTAAACGGTCCCGACATGAAATTAAACTAAACGATACACAAAGAGAATTCATTATTCTTATGTTGAGATTTGAATTGAATTTGTATTTTCGTACGAATGCCCGTTCAGCAACACTTTTTAAATATTTGTTGGAATCAGCAACATTCAAGATATATTTCAAATCCAAATACATCAAAATATGCTCCAAACAATCAGGATTCAGGTCGGTAATTTTTGTTTCCGTGGGCAAATCGTCGTTGTTTTCTAAATTCTGTCGTTTAATTCGTTGATTCTCAAGTCGTTCACTCTTTCTCTTTCCTCCGATTGTTTTTCCTTGATTCTGTTTCTGCTTCGTGGTCTTCATATCTGAAAATGTTTCAAAACTCACAATTCCAACAGTAGAATCGAAACTCACCTTTAAAAAAATCAAGTTTAGTCGGAATGTCAACTAAAATGTAATGCGATACAGTCACCAGTCTGAACACAACTAACATTGAATGTTACCGTTTTCGTGCTTATGTGTTTATACCTATCCTAAGCAACGAAGGACTGTGGACTTTGAACCAATAGTACCGTGAGAGACTGCCACAAAAATCAAACTAAATTTAAATATTCTCATTTATGTTTAAAAGTATTCAAATCCAAATCGTACCATTAAAATATTTTGCTGTGAGTATCACCGATGTAAAAAAAATGCGAAAGTGTGAGAAAAAATGAAAAGAAAATTGATTCCATATTTAGGATATATTTATTTGACAAAATCTCCTTATAATTTTACAAAAAAAAAAAATGTTATTTACAAAAGGTACATACAAAAGCTAAAAAAATTCAGATTTTCCGTTGCATATTAACATGTGCGACAGATCCTGGTGAACGGAATCCTTTGGCCAATATTTTCCATTCGTTGTCAAAGTGTATGCGCAAATCATTATATTCGTTTTCGTTTTCGATTGGGAACGTAAATGTGTTAATTGATTTGAATTCAGTCAAGCAAACGTTGGCATCATTCTTCGAACATTTTCCGTAAAAATTAACTTCCTTGACGGCTGGCAAAGCCTGTGCGAATCTCTTCAGGTCCATTCTATTCACGTACGATGTAAAGTTCTCGAACATTAAGCACTCCAACGATGCTGAATACTTGCTCACAAAAGTGTAAAATTCTTCAGAATTTGCATACAAATGCGTTGGAATGCTGAGAAACAATCTCCTTTCAGCCACATTCAAATCGATTACCTCGTCAAATTTGGTTTCAATTTTGAGTTTCTCCAGTGATTGTAGATGCTTGCAAGCATTTGAAAGTATTTCCATGTCAAATTCCGAACTCAATTGCATCTTTAACCGCTTTAACTGTGAATTCGTACGGAAAGCCGTCTCAATGGTTTTCTTGTTCGCTTTGCTTAGTTTTTCCTTTGAAATTTTAATCACAAGATTCTCCAATTTTGGCATATGTTTGACGATATCCTTGAAATTACCGTTCACTTCGTATGATAATAAGTGTGCATTTGGAAAAAGCCAATCGAATGTGTTGCGTCCCAAACAAGAATCTTGCAGATAAATCATTTTGGGCGATGAAAACGGCTTAGTGAACACCATCGATGTCTTATAACCCTCAATAGAGATGAAGTGCAACGTATTCGCACAATATTCGTTGATATGGATGAAGAGACGATCACTGAGCACGGTTGGAATCATTTTCGGATCAATGTCAACGAAGAGATACTTTATGAGGTGTCCAAAACAACGTATCAATTGAAGGCTAGTTTTTAAATCGTTGGTCTTAATCGATTGATACACCTCCAAGTGCCGCATCTCTGAGATACTTAAATTCTCAATTTTAACGTCTCTTTTTCCATATTTCCGTGCATACGTCCGTTCAGCAGCAAATTTCAAATATTTATTAGAATCAGCCACGTTCAATAGATTGCTCAAATCCAATGACATGAAAATCATTTCGAGACAATCGAGATTGATATCGGTGATTTTTGTTTCGGTGGACTCATCTTGGTCGTTTTCGATTCTCTGTCGTTTAATTCGCTGATTTTCGAGTCGATTACTACTTCTTTTGCAGCTAAGTGCGCCGATTGCTGCTCCTTGATTTTGGTTCCGGGTTGAAATTTTCTTCTCAATGGTCTTCATTTTTGACGATATTTTTGAATTCACAATTTAAAAGTCGAAATTTACTTTTCACAATCGAAGTGGATCTTTTGAACAAAATGTGATGCAATAAAGTCAACAGTTTGAATACAATTGAGCTAAATCTCGTAAGTGCGGATACTTATATTTGGATAAACTAATGTAAGGACGTGAAATGCATAGAAAGACAAATATTAAGCGTAATTAAGAATTCATTAGGAAATTCTCAGTAAAAAGTTACTACGCCAAAACATCACCTAAGGACCCTAAATGACAAATTGCAAAGGGTTGAAACTTTAATTTGGAGAAACTATTACCTGCGCAACTGGATCAACAGTATAATTAGAACCCATTTTACCTGAAAAAGAGATCTTTACTTGGAAAAACCGGTTTTCCCGTAATTAAGGTTGTTTTCAGTATGCGTGACTTTTTGGTGCATTTTGCAAGTATTTTAATGACCATTTAGACAATTTTCATTTGAATTCCAGGTAAAAGATAGTAAATAGAACTAAAAATGTTGCAGAAAGTAACTGGCACTTGCTTCGAGAAATGAAACTAAAATATGACTTCTTTTATTCATAGTTCACAACGCTTGGTTATTATGATCATGGTTGTGACGAAAAGAGGATTAAATTAAAGCTCACATATTTTCGTTTGATTTTTTGGACATTTGTAATTCATTTTTTTACTTTTCCGCACACCCACTGTGTGCAGTAAAGTATTGCAATCACCCCAAAATTTTGAAATCGATAAAAATCGTTTTTCTATGCGTTTTGGGCAGAGTATCCTGATTTGCTGCTGCTCAGCATATAGCTGAGCGCTGAGAAATGCTGAACTCGTGCGGCTAACGCATACGAAACGGATGCACGATACATATTCCCCTTTCGCTTCGTATGTGCTGCCGTTGACGCTATTGCCGGTACAACGGTTACACACTATACCAGCGAACATACGAAGTGAAAGGGGAATATGTATCGTGCATCCGTTTCGTATGCGTTAGACGTACACTTTCAGAATATATGAAAGACTGAGAGCAAAAACAGCACGTCGCATCTCATCTCTTGTTTTCACTTACGTAAGCAAAATAACGAGGGATGCGACGTGATGTTTTTCTCGCAGCTTCTCATATCTCGGTCGCAATACAATTTCAAACTCAACTGGTTACTAAGTTTTGAGTTTTGAATTGAACGTCCAATCAACTGTTTATAACCGTTTAAACGGGGAGAATGCATGTGTGCGTGCCATCCGTTTCGTATGCGTTAGCCGCACGAGTTCAGCATTTCTCAGCTCTCATCTATATGCTGAGCA